ACACACACACACACACACACACGTGTGTGTGTGTGTGTGTGTGTGTATATATATATATATAAAAATAATATATAAAAATAATTCCCATAAATCAATGTTCCATTGAAAACTTAAAGTTTGCTTATGGGAAAAATCCTCCCACACCATCCCATTAAGCCAAGGAAATTAAACATTAAGAGAGCATCTTCATCACCTCATCACACCCACACATCATGTGTCATTTCCAGGGTCTTGTGGAGGAGTCATCGCTGGTTAACTTTATCATAGGTGGCTGTTAGGTCAATGAACACAGCTCCTCTGATTTGGCCTCTTTCAAAACTGTCCTCAGTATGTTGAGTTAGACTGAGTAGCTGGCTTGTTGTTGCTTTTCCAGGACAAAAGCTGCCTTATTTGGGGATTAGGTGTTTATCCACGTATGGAGCAAGCCAGTTCAATATCAGTTGGGTGATCCTAAGATAGTGTAATCCCATACACATTACTCTTGCTGAACACATAATTCAGGGGGTAGCATTATTAAAAGTGGAGCTGGTTAATATGGCCTACAGCTGAAGTTGCATAACATTTATGACCCTGTCATCAGTTTTTTTGGAATTTTGCCAGACTTTGAGAACTTCTAACAGAAGATGCAGGGAAGACAGATCTACTCAACAGTTGCTTTGCCTCAGTCTTCAAAAAAAGATTTAGCTGCAGATGGACAGATACCCAATAAGGATTACCTGGTTAAGGAAGGGGGTAAAATGAGGTGGTAGATAACAGAAGAGACAGTCAGAGAGCATTTGTTGGGTCTGAATGAATTCAAGTCAGAAGTGCCTTCATCCCAGGGTACTGAAGGAACTGGCATAAGAGATCTTGGAGGCCTTGGCAATGATCTTCACAAAGTTGTGGGAGATGGGCTAGGTACCACAGGACTGAAAAAGGGTGAACATAGTGCCCCTCTTTAAAAAAGGCAAAAAGGAGGGCCTGGAGAACTACAGATGGGTAAGCCTTGCCTCAATACCATAGATGTTACTGGAACATATTCTAAGGAAAATCATTTGTAAGCATCTGCAGGAGGAAAGGCTGATCAAACAGCCAGCATGGATTTATGAAAAACAAGTAGTGTCAAACAAACCTTATTTCCTTCTTTGACAAAGTAATTACTTGGGTGGATGAAGGGAATGCTGTAGATATAATGTGTCTGGACTCCATCAAGGCTCTTGACAAGGTCGTACATGACCTTCTCATAACAAATTGGAGAAATGTGGAGCTGGACAAAACTGCTACAAGGTGGATAGATAACTGGCTCAATAGATCCAAGCAAAGGGTGATTAATAACAGCTCCATGACAAAATTGGCAAGAGGTTTCAAGTTGAGTCCCATGGGGGTCTGTCCTGGACTGTTCAACATGTTTATTAACAATTTGGATGGTGGTATATAAAGATTCTTGAGCAGGTTTGCAAACAACACAAAACAGAACGACTGTGAACATGGAGGATGTAAGCACAATTCAGAAGGATCTCAACAGATTGGAAAGTTGGCCTAGAGCTAACAGGATGAAGTTTATTGTGGACAATGTAAGGTGCTGCACCTCAGGAGGAGTAATCAAAAAAAAATATAAAATGAGTGACACCTGGTTGGCTGGAAGCCCTATCAAAAAGGGAATCTTGCAGTGTAATGCAGCCGCATAAAAGGTAAACGCAGTTTTAGGCTGCATCAATAGAAACATTAGGTGATAGTGCCTCTACTCAGCACTGCTTAGACCTCATCTCATAGATTTCATAGACATTTGGGCTGGAAGGGACCTCGGAAGATCATTGAGTCCAGCCCCCCGCCCAAAGGGTAAAGAAGAGGGGCTTCCCTGGCCAGGAATTGAACTCAGGCCGCAGTAGTGAGAACGCCAAATCCTAACCACTAGACCACTAGGGAAGGGCTGTAAATATCTGAAGTACTGTATGTAATTTTGGGCTCCACATTTTTAAAAGAACATGGAGAAAGAAGTTAGAGAGGGTCCAGAGGCAGGCAGCAAATATTATAAAGGGCTTGGAAAGCGGGTCATATGAGGAGAGACTGAAGGAGCTAGGCATGTTCAGCTTGGAGAAAAGGTGCTTAAGAAAGGACATGATAGCAGTCTTCAGATACTTGAAGGGCTGCCATAAAGAAGAGGGAAAGCACCTTTCCTCTCTTGCTGCAGAGAGGAGGTTGCAGACCAATGGCTTTAAGTTACAGCAAAGTAGGTTTATACTGGATGTCTGGAAAACTTCTTCACTATTAAAATAGTGAGGCAGTGGAATAAACTGCCTAGGGAATTTATGAACTCTCCATCACCGGAGGTGTTCAAGAAGAGGTTGAACAGCCACTGGTTGGGGAAGATGTAGGCATAACTATGCTAATGTTGTACTGTGTGTATTTCCCGTGCTTCTGGGCTTTACTGGTTGCCTTTACTGCCCCTCACTTTCTGCTACATGTCATATGACTAGATGACTTCTGGAGGTCCCTTCCAGCCTAGCTTCTCTATGATTCTATGACTTGGACTGAAAATTCCCATGCTGAATATCATAGAAAAAAATAGTATTGGAAGGGACCTCAGGAGGTCATTTAGTCCAGGGGTTTTCAACTTTTTTTAATACGTATACCCCCAGCAGCCGGATGAGGGTAGGGGTGGTGCACCGCTGGATGCGGAATGGCAGCAGCGCACAGGGTGGTGGGTGGCGGTGGCTGCTGCGTGCGAACTTCCCACTCTCCCTTGCCCCTCAATGTCTGGCTGGTCAGGCAGCGCCTGCACAGCCCTGCTCCTGGGAGGCAGCGGTGCTCTGTCCCTGCCCACCCATGCATGCCCCCTAGCGCCTTCCCAAGTACCCTTGAGGATACGTGTACCACCAGTTGACAAACCCTGATCTAGTCCAACCACCAAAGCTGACCATCCCAACTAAGTCAGTCCAGCCAGGCCTTTGTTGACCTGGGCCTTAAAAGCCTCCATGGATGGAGATTCCACCACCTATCTAGGTAACATGTTCCAGTGCCTCACCACCCTCGTACAGAAAAAGTTTTTCCTAATATCCAACCTAAACCCCCCTTGCTGCAACTTGAATATTCACTTCAGGCTCATTAGAAAAATCTGAAGATGTGGTAAAGTCACTTGTGAGAAGAAGTTTTGGGAAAATAATATGTTTTACTTATGTTAAGCAATTTTTATGGCTGTTATATTGAGACACATTAGTGATTTCATGGTTTAGAACAGTGAGGGCCAATCTTTTTGACAGGTGTACAGCAAATTAGCCCTGCACCCTCTCTAAGTACCAGTCTGATCCCCTTCCCCTGCCCAATCTGCTACTCTGATTTCTGCTTCCTGCCCTGTACATCCTGCCCAATCTGCTGCTCTGCTTTCTGTCCTATCTGCTGCTGCTGTGCTTCCTGATTTGCCATGGGGAACACACACAAGTGCCTGTGCTACTTGTGGCAGGTGTGCTACTTGTGGCCACCCCTGTTTCAGAACATGGTCTTGGAGTTGGAAGGGCAGTGTAAGAGAGGGCTTTGTGTCATGGATGGGCATGTTGCTTTTCTTATAAAAAAAACTACACATATTTGGCCCAAATAGAAGGCTTTGAAAAAAATGCAATTTAGCTTTTACTCTAATGCAGAGCTACAGGGGCTGAACAGGCCATTTCCTCCATTTGCTGCTCTAGGATTTTGTGGACTGCTGTGGCACTGGCCCTGGGAGCAAGGAGACTATTTCCTTGTGCTATCAGTGCCCCCCCCCCATGCTGCTCCCCAGTAACACGGAGAAGGAAAGAGTCCTCAAATTCATAAGACAGGAGCTAGACAAAGAGATTTGATGGTAGTATATTGAGATATGGCACAAGTGACTAATGCAGGTCCAAAGGCTGAGTGAATTCAGGGCATCCTGTGCACTGGATGAGGTAAGGGTCCATTAGAGAAACTAGTATGTGTTCATGTAATGTGGATGAAGGCAATACAGGCAACCTCAATTCTAGCATTTCCTAGTTTTTGAGTGCTTGACTTTAACATACTTTATTTTGTATGTACTAGCATGTGTAGGCTGCATGTTTTGTAGGCACGGTGAAGTTCTTTTATATGTGGAAGAAAGTTATTTGGAAAGATGCAATACCAGTCAATAAGGGTTCAGGGTTCTCAGTATAAATGGCCTTGTCATCTACCCCACCCAGGATGGAGTGGGATGGAATCTGAAGTCTCAGAGAATGGTCTAGCCAGGCTTCCCCCTCTTCTTAGGCATTGCTAGCCCCCGCCTCTCATTCCATCCATCCGTATGGCCTCTCCTTCCACCCCAGCCTCCCCTCCAGCTTTGATTATCACTTATTCAACCTGGGTTTAGAGTCCTTCTACACCTCATCTGCTTGCTAGTTATGCATGTGAGACGATTGGGGAAGCAACACTATACATGCCCTCTCCAATACTGCCCTCAAACCCCAAGCAGATCCCCCTTTAGCTAGGGAAGCCCACAGTATGTTTAGACCTTCAGTGCTGGTACATTGGGCTTCCATAAGCTGCTGAGCCTGGCTGGGTGATTAACTAGTGGCATTGAAAAACGGATGAGATTCACTTAAATTTCACAAAGGGAGAATTTTTAATATTTCCCTCTTGTATTCCAAGATTACTTTTCAGTACTCACAGTGCCCTCAGTAATTCAAGAGCACATCAAAGAACATTTCTCGATTTTTGGATTTGATTTCTGTATCTGGTGAATGGGGTGACAAATCCAGGACCAAGGCCTCAAGATCCTACTAGTGCCAAAAGCTTGACATGTAGCTATCAGTGAATCCCTAACTTAGGAGAAAATCTTAAGGTGATTCACCTGATAGCTTTAATTTAATTATGTATGAGGACCAAACAAGGTTTAGATAAAGTGCCCTGCAGCCATTTTTAAACTCACGGGAGCTTAATCCATGTGATAATGCAGCATGCTGTTTAGAATGCTGAGGAGCATGTGCATAGGCAGCAGGTATAATTTCAGGGGAATAGGTCTGGAATATGACATAAATGCAGTCATCATCATTAGATGAGATTTGTTTTTGAGTGCCCTGCAGCATGGTGATTTTGATTTTGATTTTCTTTTGTTAAAGATATTGATGAATGCCTGAATGAGAGTACTTGTCCAGATGCACAGTGCATTAACGCTCCTGGCTCGTATCAGTGCGTTCCTTGCACAGATGGATTCAGAGGCTGGAATGGACAATGCCATGGTATGTCTATTATATTTATATTCCAAATGTTGATACATTGATTTTTTTTATTCAGAGATGTCCTGGCCAGAAAACCTCCTTTTATTCTAAAAAAGAAATGGAAGTCATATGGATTTCAAAATGGTTTTTGGTTTCAGAGAGGGAAGAAATGAAGAAACCTTGTCTGACTCTAGTCAAATTAACATCAAATCTATGCTGTAATTCTCATGTTTTGTGAAAATCTAGTAGTGGAAATGGATAATATGAGATTTGAAGAGATTTTGAACTGGTAATATTTATGTGAGAAAACCATTGCTAGGGAAACTGAACAATTGCAAAAACATGAGGATGCTAATATTTTAATGTGACTGGGCTGCTATTTAATACAATACAGATACTGGCTTACAAAATACTTTGATAAACACATCTAAATTATCATTATTTCTAGCAAGACATTGCTACAGTACATCTCAAATAGTTTCTCAACAAGTCAGTAATGTTCAATTTAAAATTGTTTTTGTGAAATAATTTTTTCACACTTCCTATTGTCCTATTTGTGTTTTTACCCTTTATTGTTCAGTACCCTCTTTTGTTTGGACCAGTGGCAACTATTTGTGGAGCTCATAGCAAAACGTGGTATTTTGCAAAAATGTACAGTGCCACTAGTCTTTTGGAGCTAGCTATCAGCTTCTGGATGAACATTTAGAAAACTGATTTCATTTAATTTATGAAGGAAGTGGTTTACTTGAACCTATGTATGTAGATACATACACTGTGGTTTCTGAAATGCAGTGGGACTCTGGCATACAAAGTGCTTTATAAACATGATATGTTTACATTAAACTACATAGCTGTTTATTCTTACCTAATCATCTGACTGTAACAGTACCTGGGTAACTTTTTAGATATTTTCTGTGACATTTGAATTGGTTGAGGCAAAAATACAGAGAAGTGACTTTGAGGTAACGATGCTGATTTCATTGGAGTTGCACAAGCTTATGAAATTGGGAAAAAATATTTCTTAACCCCCAGAGAGGGTTGGCTTTTACCCTGACATAGGACCTATCATTTCCCTTACCAACCTTCTCTTTTAGATCATTAATATTTTGTCATTGGGTGTTTTTATTATCTTGGTAAGCTGGGACTTTCAAAGGGACCTAAATAAGTGAGGGACACAAATTCTACTGAGTCAGGTGCCTTACTCCTTTAGGCGTTTTTGGAGAAGGCAGTCATAAATGTGGGTGTACCTTAAAAACAGCATGTAATAACAGGGCAATTTCAAACTTAGATTAAGAAGACTTCAACTGGAAGAAACATGAAACAGTGTCAACTAAATACATTTCTAACACAAAGAAGCCAGTATGAGCTGTGTCTACTCTAGGGCCATGTGTCTACTCTAGACATTTTTCCTGTATGTTCTTCACAATAGCAGTCGAGGAGTGCTAATGTTTACAAGGGTGATGTCAATCAGTTGCCAATATTTTTGACAGTGTGTTGTCAGATTTTTCTAGGAATAGGTCTGTAGAATACAGGCAAAAATATGCCACTGTCTGGTAACATTTGGTCTACACTGACAGCAGGAAAATCAAGGGCAAAAAGCCCAGTGTAAATGAAGATATGATCATTACTAACTTATGTTGCAGTCCTACTTAAAAACTATCTACCAGATTAGGCTATGATATAGTTCAGAGCTCAAACCATTCTTATTTCATACTGGGAAAAATAATGGTCTAGAATAGATCGTGGGCTAGGATTTTGACAAGCCCATAATGGCTAACCAAATCATATTAGAACCCTGTTTAAACAGAATTTTAATACAGTTCATAAACTGAACTGAAAAGCCAGTGTGGATAGGAACTAAGTCATTATTATATATCCATGTTTATTTTATATTTACAGATATAGATGAATGCCAGTATGGCAGTTACTGTACAAATGGACATTGTGAAAACACTGAGGGATCTTTCAGATGTACTTGTAACTATGGTTATAAACTGTCTGCAGCAGAGGATCAGTGTGAAGGTAGGAATGTTTCTAAAACTCACAATAGTACATCTAGCACAAAACTGTTGTGCAACAGTAACCCAAAGTATGTTACAAAATATCATTTAATTAAAAACAATTCAAGTACATCATTAAGCCTGCAGAGGAAAAACTTCAAACAAGCCAGAAAATACAAGAGTTAAGGTTTTTTGTTAACTTGGTTGTGTTATGCAGGCTGTATGTTCTGTGACCTGTGCCAGGGCTGTCCAACTTAGGTACAGGCAGGAGCCTCATGGTGTACCTGCATGTGGATCTGGGGCTGCATACTACACGGGCTGCGTGCTGTGAGGGCAACCCCCACCAGATCCCTACTGCTGTATGGGCTCAGCCAGCTTCATATGGGTCCCCAGCACACAAGTTGCAATAATACATGCCCTCTGCACTCTCTGCCATGCAGGCTATGATGGCTTCATCCCTCAGCACCTTGCCAGCTTCACAAAGCCCCCTTCACCCTATACCACATGGGCTGCAGTGCATGACTCACTTGTCCCCACTACACAGACTGCACAGGCAGCATGAGGACCCCTGGGGCCTGCTCCACCATATGGCAGTGGGAGAGGCAGCCACCAGGGCCTGCAGGCTACCAACCAGCTCTGACCTATTCATAAAATGCATGATAGCTGAAGTTATTACATTAATTAACAGTAAACAATACATTCATATTGCTGTATTAAAATTGTTGTAAGTATTTCTGATTTAGTTACTTTCAGTTTATTTCCTTTAGAAAAAAGGGGAAAATCAAAACCATGTAAGTGCACCATTCTTAGCATCAGAAGCTTTAGGGCTAAGTACAGACCGTCAAAAAGCCTGAGGCTGAATCGATTCAATCTCTGTACGTTCGTCTAAGCTGCGTAGATTAAACCAATAAGCAAGTGAACAGACTTTCACTTTTGATTCTGGAAATGCAGCCACATGTCTGTAGTGACTCAGGGCAGAAGCCAGGGGCACTTGAACATGCCTCCCTGCCCTGTTAAACCTAGCCTGCCCACCCTGCGGGGGGAAGGGTTCTAAGGGGAGGTGCAAAGCATCCCGGGATACTTAGGAACTGTGAGTTAACTTGAATCTGGGTGGGATCTGGGACAGAATTTCAATAAACTGATTTAACTTAAATCAGTTAAGTTTGATACCACATCCGTCTAGGTTTATCTTAAACTGGTTTCAGCCACTTTGAAAGTGGATTGTGTGCATTAAACTTTTGTTGTGTTACAGTTTTGAACCAATTTCTAATAGTTTATACCAGTTTATGTGTACCTTCTGTTCCAGCCTAAGAATGATAGCCAGGGAGTGTGACAGTCTCATTTTAGAGGAAGTATATAGGCAAAGATAGATTGCTTCCTCAGAGCTTCTATGGAAATTTGTGGTTTTGTATGCACACTTTTAAAATAAGGCCCCAATCTTGCAGTGTGATACATATGGGTGAAGCCTTGAAGGGTTATTGAAATCTGTTGTGCTTCATAGATTTTAAGGTGAGAAGGGGCCATTCTGATCATTTGATCTGATCCCTTCTGGCCAGAAAAAAATCACCATTTTTTCTGCCACAAGCCATAGCTTCTGTTTGAGTTACAACAGATCCCTAGAAAGACATTGAGTTCCAATTTATCTTCTGTGAGTGACTGAGAATCTACCACATCCATTTTCAATGGCCTGTACATGTATATTAGATTACTTTTGGCATTTATGAAATGGACATATCTTTGTTTAATCAAAAGCAATATTGATCCTTCCTAGGGCTGACCACAGCTAGCTAATGAATTTTAAAAGATGCTAAGGCCTGTTCGTAATAGAGGCTAACACATTTTCATACACCACTTAATTAATACTTACTAATATTTCCTAATTTAGTTAGAGCCTAAAAAAATTAACACCTCCAGCAAAAGATTTTTCCCAAATATTCATCTGTGATGATTATTCAGTAGTGACACATTGGAACATGACCTGCCTTTTGAATCAGCAATACCACTTCCAAATTTTCCTTAGGAAATTTGGAGTTTCCTATCCAAATACATCTGCTGACCTGGGCTGACCCCAGTCTGTGGGAAGTGAAGAAATCCCTCCAAGCACTGAGGGATTAACAGCAGTTATGAAAACAAAAAGAGATATTTGACCTGGATTAATACTGATATAGAGCAATTGTTTAAATAAGAAAATCTGATCTTCATGTAAAATGTTACAGTGCAACAGCCTTGCAGCGTGTGCCTGAAAACTGCCCCCTGATAGAAAGGTGGTGATGCCAGTATTTCCAGAAGTGTAGCACTACCATTTTCTTTAGATAACACATTTTCTTCTCCTCCATAGATATAAATGAATGTCAGCAAACAGCTCTGTGCACAAATGGGCATTGCAGAAACACAGATGGGTCTTTCAGGTGTATTTGCAAACCAGGTTACACACTATCATCTACGGGAGACCAGTGTGAAGGTAAGAATGTGGTTTATGCTACTGAAGAATTTTCCATTAAGACCTGGGCTATTTTTATTCCATTTTTTAGGATGAGGGAGGTTTATTTTTCCTGCTCTTCTCCATTCTTTGATGGCCCATTAATGGTCTCCATCAGTACAGCTCATGAATTCACAGTCTCATGAATTTTCTTTCACATAGTCCTAGTTATCTCTATATGTATAAAAAACCTGCACTTATGTTTTCAATAGGAAGAGTGGGAGAATAATTTGATTTTTGTTGGTAATAAATAACAACTCTTTTTAATAAGATCATCTCTTTACTCATATTTTAGCACATACAACTATTTTTATTCATGGGCAACAAAAGCTACTGCCAGCACATATTGTTTATGTGAGGGTCTGCTGGGTTTACAACTTCTTCTGCACCTGGTGTGGGGTCCTGTAGCCAACCACCACAATCTCAAACTTGAGTAGCATTGCCAGGGGAAAGCGTGTGGCCTAGATCAGATCCAGAGAACATTCTCCTGGAGTGGAGCTTAGCATCCTCCACTGTCTCAGAGGTGCACTCTACATACCAGTCTTGGAAAACAAAATTCATGAGAAATGCACAATACATGCTAGAGGAAGTACTGTGCAGTAAGAAACAGTTGTCATATCTCTTAGGAGTATCTCACATTGGAAGACTTCAGGCCTTTTGTTACAAAACTGATACTCTCATTATCTTGGGGATATTCCTCATCCTTGCTTATTTTTCATTGCTTGACAACATTCTTATCTGAGCATCACTTGAAGGAAATTTTCAGGAGCTGACCCAAAGAGGCTCTTCCCATGCTTGAGTGATACTGGCTCTTGGGTTCCTTGTTCCTGGGATAAAAGAGCATTTTAAGATACCATCTCCCAATGTCACACACTTCGGAGTTGAGACAGGTGTAAAGAGGACCAGAGTCTTCCCAAAGCAGGAACGTTTTCACGTGACCCAGGCTCTGATCTCCAAAGAATGATAGAACAAAAAATCATTCATCCAACTCTGAGGTTTGGCTTCTCTGTAACCACTGGAACTGTACAGTTTCCAGTGTACATGAAACTTCTGAATGCTCTGAGGACATCACTGTTGCAGAAGATGTGATTCCCCATTGTATTCTAGGCTTAGGTTACTATCCCTGCAGCATTCTAAGAGGGAATCTTCACCTCTTTAGTGACAGGAACAAGAATCCTCCCCAGATTTTCAAGAAATCCAGGAGGTGGAGCAGCCTATCCCAGTCAACTTTTTATTGTCTTCAGATGAGGCTATGGTATCAAATTAGACTTTTTCAACTTCTGAAGGTCACAAAATCTTACCAATTTAAGCAGGAGAATGGCAGCAATTCTGAGATCTCTACCAAAGTAATACAATAAAAACCTCATAAAATCCTCAATATATTACCTACACCCTGGTAATAGACTATTTGGCAATTCTGATCACTTAAGGGTTACTGGACCTTGCCAAAGTCTTATGAGAAGCACCAGCAACACTTACATCAACTTCAAAGTGTGCAGAAAAAGAATACCAGGTACCAGCTAACAGATTCAAGTAATACTTCTGTTACATGGAAAAGGACAAACAAGTTAAGATGCCCAGGGGTAATATGGGCATGCATTTAAATCAGGGGTGGGCAAAATACGGCCTGCAGGCTGGATTCAGCCTGCCAAGTCATTGTATCTGGCCTACGGGGCCCCTAAAAAATTTAGAAAACTAATATTTATCTACCCCGGCTCCTACCAAAGGACTGTGCCTGGCTGCTGCACTCCATCTCCCAACACAGCTCCCACTGCCGGCCCCACATCCCATCCTGCAATCACTGTCACTGCTGTTCCTGGCCACCATGGGCATCTCAGCCTCCTGTGGGAACAGCGCCTAGTGCAAGCAGCCACAGTGCTTGGGCTCACAGTAGGGGCATGGCAGTGGTGCAGCCACCACCACAACAGTGAGTCAGAGTGGCTCTTGTGGCACACCTTGGAGCTGCCGATGTGGTTGTGATGGCCGCAGTGGAAAAGGAGGATGAGGAGGGCTCGGCTGTTGCCACCTTCTTTTTGTCACCACGCTCACGGTGCCGCCACCGCACCCCTGCCATGAGCCCAAGCACCACTTGCCCCGTGGCTGCTTGTGCTCAGCACCATCCCCACAGCAGGCTGAGGCACCTGTGGCAGCCAGGAACAGTGGCTGCAATGGTCATGGCACCTGTGACGGAAACTGCAGGAGCAGGGCTGGTGGTGGAAGCCGCGTGGGGAGGTGAAGCACATTACCCAGGTGTGGCGGGAGCACTGCAACAGCAGCAGCTGCTCCTGTGAGCAGCACCATGAGCACCACTGCGAGCATGGCAACAAGGAGAAGGTGGCGGTGGCCAAGCCTGCCTCATCCTTCTTTTCCACCACAGCCCCACAGATGCCTGTATGTAGCCTGCACTGGCCGGCCCTGGCTGGTCAGTTGCTACTGGAGCAGCTCCACACAGCACTGCTTCAGGGCCTCCAGCCGGGCCCAGTGCTCCCACTGTGCCTTGTCCCATGCCTCCCCTGGGTGATCTCCCGGGTGACATCTTCCCCCTCACCAGGCCAGCTCCCATGCCTCCCATACCTGCTGCCACACAGCGAAGTTCTCTACCACTGCCTCCAGCTGCTGGAGCAGGAGCATCCAGTCCCTGGTATGTTGCAGCTCCAGCAGCGGGTAGCAGTGACCCTGATGTGGCACTCCCAGAGGGCCCTGCAATCTCTCCACCGTGTCCAGATATTGGACCTGCAGACGCAAGAGGTGCTGGCTGTAGGCAGCCTTCCTCCTCTGCCCCCTTCCCAGGAACTAGGGGCTGCCAGACTCAGCTTCCCCGCCCCCCCCGCTTACCAGCCATGCTGCTGCCCAGCCAACAGTGCCTGGTTTGGGATGCATGGGGCTCCTTGGGGCAAGGGACTGGCCCTGCCCCTGCCCTCCCTACTTTGGGCCTGTCTGGGGAGATGTCATGGGGCCATCTCCCCCTCACACGACTGCTGTGCACCAAGCATGTCCCTGCTGCATGTGTCCCAGGTGGGGCACAATGATCTGTTGATGCAAGCAGAGGGGTGCCCAAGCCCCGCTGCTGCTGCTCCTGCTGGTGCCCCAGGCACACCTGTGCTCCTGTTTTGGATCTCTGAGCTACGACAGCATGAGAGGCAAACCCGGGCTACCCTGCAACTTCCGCTGCTGCCTGGAGGGCAACCTGTTGCAGTGCTGCATGTACCTGCCCCCAGCTGCAGAGAAGGACATTGCCACAAGCATCAACACCTTCCTCGGTGTGTGAGGCCTGTGCCTACCCAGCTGTGGGGACATGGACTGCTTAATAAAGTTTTGAACTGTGTCCTGCTTCTCTGCGTGCTGTGGGGTGGGGAACCTGGAGTCAGGGAGTTCAGGCTGTTTGGGCAGGGAATAGACCAGGGCCAGGGGCTGGGAGGGCTCTCCCCCAGTGCAGGACTTAACACATATCCAGGGATGGCCAGGCTGGCAGCTCAGTGTAGGACTCCCCATCAGCGACAGCATCTGGCTGTGCCCTGTGTCCATGGCCTGTGGTGTACAGCAGGCCACACCCGGCCAGGGGCCCTCCTCTGAGGAGAAGCTAGTGGCCCGTGGTGGCATAGCTAGCTGCTCCTCATTGCAGGGTGCAGGGCTTGGCCAAGGGTGTGATACAGCCGCTGGGCAGAGTTCCCCAAGCTGCCAGGGGATGCAGCAGTCAGGGAGGTGGGCAGAGTGGGGTGCTGAAGGTGCGAGGTCCCCTTCTTCAGTGACATGTCACCAGAGATGTCAGACTGGGGTGTGGGTGAGGGCAGGTCAACTTTAATGGTGGCACTTGCAGGGGTATGGCCTGTCTCCTGGGGCACCAAAATTCAGGTCAGCTCCCACATGAAGGGCATGGTCTTCTGGGCACAACCAAACCAATGATTGAACTTGGTCATGGTCACCCACTGTGCCTGCAGGACCTTGGCCTTCACACGGCACTGCCCAACCATCTGGGAGTGGCCTTGTGCATGCATCCCACCAGATATGGCCTCATAAATGTGGGTGTTTGAGCACCCACCATGTGCAGACTGCCTCTGGATGTCAGCCATGCCCCATGAGGTCACACATCTCCTCACAGGTCCAGTTGGGGGCCCAGGTGCTTGACATGGGTATGGGCATGTGGACAGTGTTTGATGGGGACGATGTACTGGACATGTTCCCTGCTCTGGTTCTCTGGGCCCCTGCGTGCCTGTCCCTGTGATGCCAGCACTGAAGGGGTGCCAGCAGCACCCAGGACAGGGGCAAGGGTGGGGACTGTGAGCCACAAGGCAGAGGTGCTTCACCACAGTGCCTGCAAAGAGACAGAGCTGGCGGTGAGGAGCAGCAAACAGCAGGTACTGGCCCTGCTGCTATAGAGAGCAGGGCCAGCAGGCCTGGGGGAATCTTAGGTGTGGGAAAGGTCACAGTAGGCTGCAGCCCTTTGCAACACTCACCTGTGGCCAAGGAGCAGTCCTTGCTAGGGAACAGGATTGACAGAGGCTGCCTGGGGCTCTCCCATCCAGGGGGATACACAGGGCCTGGTGGGCTCCTGCAGGCAGCACTGGCTCCCTCAGGCTCCCTGTGCTGTGTGCCCCAAGGCACAAAATGGCTAGAGTATTTAATAGCCTGGAACTAGGGGCTGCCAGAGAGCAGCCCAGCCCTGGAGGAAGAGAGGAAGTCAGCCAGGAGCCCTGGGGCTGGGCTCTGGCCAGCCCCCTAGGGCCAAGGAAGACCCAGCACTAAAGTCCCTGCATTAATGCTCATTAACGCATCTACATGTGTGTCTATGCTCTTTAACTAATTGTGCCTACACTTGATATTTGTTTTATGTAGGTATCAAATTTAGGGAGGATTAACCTAAAATTGCCATTTTTAAGGTACATTAAGGTACTTATAGACACATGCCCAGTGCACCTTAAATTAGGCTAATGTGCATTAAATGCCCATGTGTAGTTACACCCACTGAAGCCAATTTAAGTAGG